TTTTTTATTTAATTACTTCCCACCTTTATTGACATATACTTGACATATTACTTTATGTAAGTGCAAGGCATATAGTGTCAACACACTACATACACTTACATGTTTCAAAATGATTACCACCATAGCATTAGCTAACACCTCCATTATGTGACATAACTACTACTACTTTTTGGAGGAGAGAAAATTTAAGGTGTACTCTCTTTTAACAACTTTCAAATTCATAATACATTATTGTTAACTATACTCACAGTGCTGTACATTAGATACCCAGAAATTATTCATCTTAAATTTGGAAGTTTATACCCCTTGACATTTTCTCTACCCTCCAGACCTTGGTAATCACCATTCCACTCTCTAATATTTCAGTTTTTTAGATTTCACATATATATGAAATCATGCAGTAGTTGTCTTTATCTGACTTATTTCACTTAGCATAATGTGCTCAAGGTCATTCCATGTTGTCACGAATGGCAGTGTTTCCTTCTTTCTCAGAACTGAATAATATTTCAGTGTGTGTGTATGTGTGTGTCCCATCTTCTTTATCCGTTCATCTGTTGATGGACACTTTGGTAATTTCCAGGTCATGGCTATTGTGAATAATGCTACAAAAAAAACATGGAATAGAGATGTCTCTTCAATATTCTTTTTTCATTTTCTTTGGATATATACCCAGAAGTGGAATTACTAAATCATAAGGTAGTTCTATTTTTAATGTTTTGAGGAAACTATATTGTCTTCCACAGTGGCTGCACCAATTTACATTCACACCAACAGTACACAAGCTCCTTTTTTTTTTTACATACTGGCCAGCACTTGCTATTTCTTCTCTGTTTGATAATAGCCATTCTAACAGGTATGAGGTAACATCTTATTATGATTTTGATTTGTATTACCCTGATGATTAGTGATGTTGAGCATCTTTTCATGTACTTGTTGGCCATTTGTAGGTCTTTTTTAGAAAAATATCCTTCAGTTCCTCTGGAAAAGAAAAGTTTTTAAACAGTGATATTGCTCCACACTCTGAAATATCAAAGTATCCTTTACACTTAACGTATAAGACCACAAAGATGAGCAAACAATTCCTTTGAAGGATAAGATGAATTATAAGTGATTTAGAGATGTGACCCAGGGAACATATGGGGAAGGGACTCAGGAGTAGGCTGTTATTTGAGAAAGTATCTGTGGCCCTTTGTGTCCAGATATTGAGGCTGGAGCTCTGACCTCAAAAAAAAGTGACCCAATCTGAAATATTCCTCATGTTGTACCAGTGCTACTTTACAATCACCAGAAAACAAAGCTATAGAAGATGGACTTAAAACATGCTGTACTGGTGTTTAAAAGCCTGCACTAGGGATGCATCCTGCTAGGGTTCAAACTGTGGCTCTGTTGCTGTGATCCAGAGTAGGGTATTTACTCCTCAAGTCCCTCAGTGTCATTGTGCTGTGACAACAGTAGTAGCAGCCACCTCACATTAATTTAAAGGTCTAAATTAAATAGTTAAAAATCTGAGGGGTACCTGAGTGGCACAGTTGGTTAAATATCTGCCTTCGGCTCAGGTCATGTTCCCCACACTGGATTCTCTGCTCCATGGGGAGTCTGCTTCTCCCTCTCCCTCTGCCTACTGCTCCCTCCTACTTGTTCTCTCTCTCTCTCTTTCTGTCTCTCAAATGAATAAATAAAATATTTTTTTAAGTTTTAAAAATGTGAGGTTCTTAGAATGGTGCCAATTATATGATATATTATTGTGCCATCATCATTAAATGTCATAAAAATATTTTAATTTAAAGAAAGGAAGATGCTAACAATGAACTAAGGTGGTTTATTGAAGTTTGTTCACCAGAACATAAACACATTAAAGAACTATACTATAACATCAAAACAAAACAAAAAACAATACTACTCTCATTGGCTGATATCCACATCATGGAGATGTACATAGAAATAAAATATCATCCTAGGTAAGTCTGCCGTGTAGCTATACAACTATAAGGTTTAATGACTATCACAATTTCTGGAAAGAAATATATCAGAATAGGAATTCGTAGAAGAACTGAGGTCCGAGAAACAGTAGCAGTGACCAAGACCCTGTCACTGATTCCATAAACTGTTAGACTCAAAGGTACAATTCCCCACCACCGTGGAAGTCATCCACACTCTACCTGTTGTGAGGCATGAACCCAAAACATGTTCCTGAAGTTCTTCCTTCAGAAGTCAAAAATTCCGTCCTTCAGTTTACCCTCCACAATCTGTTTCTATGAAATTACCCCAGGCACTCCGAAGAACCCGAGTAAACCCGCCAGATTTGTTTACATAGATCCCCCAGCTGAGATGCAGGGCTGAGGAGCATTTAAAAAAAAAGGACTATTCTCTGGAGGAAAATATCATTATATTCTGATTACAGAAAAGCATCATATCAGTTGAAAATTGGGAAAATACAGAAAAGAACAAAGAAAAGAAAAGGCAACTGTCATTGTATCCTAGTTATTCATCATCCCCAAAACTTGACAAATCCTGTCTTTTCACTTTTACACATTCTAGTGGTTGGATAGTTGTATTGGGGGTTTAATTTTTTATTTAATTTATTGATTTGATCTATTCTCTGGTAATTAATGATGTTAGTATCTTTTCATGTATTTCTTGGCCATGTCATATTTGTGAAGTACCCTTTCAAGTCTTTCGCCCATTTATCTCTTGGGTTGTTAGTCTTTTCCTCACGGATTTGAAGGAGTTCTGTGTATAACCTGGATATGAGTCTTTTGAGAAATACTTTCTCCTACTTTGTAGATTGCCTTTTTATTCTCTTAAGGTGTTTTTGATGAACATAGTTCTTTACTTTAATTTAATCCAATTTCGTGATTGTTTTCCTTTATGGTAGATGTTTGTTTTAGTCTATTTAATAAAGGTTGGCTTTTCCAAAGATCATAGAAATATCCTTTCATGTTTCCTTCTAAAAGCTTTATTGTTTTACTTCTCACATTTAGATCTACCATCCGCCTAGAATTGGTTTTCAGGTATGGCATATGATGAGGTGAGAATTCAGCTTCTTCCAGCTGGATATACAATTTCAAGCACTATTTATTGGAAAGGTTGTGCTTTCCTCTTCTCCTTTGCAGTGACACCTTCTTCATAAACCCAGTAGCTGTCTCTGTGTGGGTCTGTTTGTGGACTCTCTCTACTGTCTCATTGGACTATTGGACTATTTGTCCTTGCACAAGTACCACACTGCCTTAATTCATGTGCTCTTATAGTAAATCTTGATATGAGGTCGTTTCAGTTAAAAGCATTCAGATTTGGGACCATAACCAACCAACGGATAACTTGATCTCAACTCATAAAACTTAATTTATATGCTAAGTGCATGAGAGACCAAACAAGAGGAGGCCAGAGGTGAACAGATCTGCTAGAAAATTGTGCAATATCATTCTTCATCTGCGGGGGATGTGGAAGAAGCCAACGTGCACAGCAGTTTCTAACTGCAAATTCTTTGATTGAAAGAACCACAGGTTTATTCACTGCTTACAGTTGCATTCCGTAATATGTTAGATTAATAACCAATATTGTTAAGTAGAGGGCCTTCCCCATCCTTAGTCCAAGATGATGTTTCAGGTGTGTATGCTGGTGCTACCATGACCAGCAGACAGCTCGGGACAGGCAAAACACGCGGCGCAGGGTCGCTCTGATTTTGGCAGAACCTTACTTAGCAAGTGGTTGGAAATTACGGTTTTGTGAGTTAAATAGTTAATGTGAGTTAATGCTGAGAACTTATGAGTCAGCCAAGGTTCCAAGAGTTAACAGCACTGGAGTAAGTGAGGTTGTCAAAGAGAAGAGAGCAGAACGAAGAAAAATGGATCGAGATTATAGAAAGAAAAAAAAAAAACTTTGGAAAACAAGGAAGAGTTGTCAATGAAGAAGCATCCGGGGGTTCAGAGTCAAAGGAGACAAGAAGACATTGGCAGGAGGGGTGACCAGGGTTTAAATTCCAGGAAGAAAAATACTAGGTCACAAATAAGATTGGGAGTCAGCAGGACTGTAGCGGTTCAGAAATTATTTACCACAGGGATGGATTCTAATTTTCAGGTAGCCAAGGCCATTAGGGAATATACTCTGCCTCCATGGAAGTATGCCCTCTAGGATAAGGCACTGTAGAAATAAATACACACATAGCTGGACTCTAGATTTCCATTCTCCATGCATTCAGGTTTGACTGAATACACTTTGGGAAGAAGGCATTTTAAAGCATTTGCCCCTGGGGCGCAGCAGTTTAGCGCCGCCTACAGCCCAGGGCCTGATCCTGGAGACCCGGAATCGAGTCCCACGTGGGGCTCCCTGCATGGAGCCTGCTTCTCCCTCTGCCTGTGTCTCTGCCTCTCTCTCTCTCTCAATAAATAAATACAATCTCTCTGTCGCTATGAATAAATAAAATCTTTTTTAAAAATTAAGCATTTACTATGTAGTAGGCAAGGTGTTTTCATTAACATTGCTGTTTTTAATCTTAAAACATTAGTTGGAGACAGGAACAGTCACCCTCATGCTGAAAGTGAGTCAGACTAGGAAGCCAAGCAAAGGAAGGAGAACACTAAGGGAGCAAGAGTCTATTTGGAGCTGGATGCATCTGTTCCTGAAGCCAAGTTCCATTTTCCCACAGGTCCAAGTGTTTTAGACTCTCTGTAGCACCAGAGGAGCTGCAGCAGCGTGAAAGCCAGGTTCAGCCACCAGGCTCAGTTACTGACAGGCATGCACAGATGCTAGGCAGTGAGCTCAGAGGAAGGAACGGTGTGTTCATCCAAACAGCCCTGGAGTTCCCATAAACTCAAGGGAGCTGAGATTTGCTAAGAGGTCAAAGCCACATTTGACCTTGTTTATATTTCTTTCACTTCAGGCCAGGTCACAGGGCTTGTTCCCCGTTTAGTACCAATTCTCACAGAAATGGCTCCATCTTGTGTTGATGCCAAGAGCTCCCAGAGGAAGGACTTTACCTCCTGAAGGCCCCGAGTGCCTCAGACACAGTAGTAATTTGAGCCTCTGCAATTGCCATACCCAGGGAATGCTGCCCTGCTTCCTTGGAATGTACTTTATGTGCCCACTGACCCTTGATCAGAACTTTGGGCTGCTGATTTTCAGCTGGAACTTGAAGGTAAGAATATGGCTTAGAAGAAATCCTTAACTTGATTATTTTTTTTATTTCTATTATCATGATGTAGTTACTGCTGTATAGACAGAAGCGATTAACTAAAGCCAGAGAAAGTTTTAAGGAACCTAAAAGGTAAAAGAGATGTATAACCAAGATAACAACCTAACAGTGGAAAGCCTAGAAATTCAGGACCCAGAGGCAAAAATCTCCAAAATCCCTGACCTATAATACCATCTCTCCTTCCCACCTGGATCTTCCCCTACATGCTAAACCTACAAAGGGGATTAGACCAGGTCCCTGAGCTCCAGGAGAACTAGACATGAAAACAAGTAATTGCAGGGCATTTACATTTCCTAAAAGGCTCTAAAGTCCTGGCACTCATTTTATGCACCAGTTAAAATGAGTTTATTTATACAAGGTACTAAGCCCAGCAGATGGCTATCTCAATAGCCAATTATTCTGGAGTAATATGGCCCACTTCTCCTGGTTTCCTCATTTTGTGCATTTAAAGCAAAAAAACTTGGGATGCCTGGGTGGCTCAGCGGTTGAGCATCTGTCTTGGGCTCAGAAGTGATCCTGGGGATCTGGGATCAAGTCCCACATTGGGTTCCTTGCAGGGAGCCTGCTTCTCCCTCTGCCTATGCCTCTGTCTTTCTCTGTGTCTCTCATAAATAAAAAAATTAAAATATTTATTTAAAAAATATAGTAAAAAAAACTTAACTCAAGAAATTGGCAGAAAATTTAAGTGGATATTTCTCCAAAAGAGATATATGAATGACAAATAGGCACATGGAAGGATGCTCAACATCACTAATAATTAGGGAAATGAAAATCAAAACCACAGTGAAACATCATCTCATACCTATTAGGATGGCTAACATAGAAATTAAAAAATTTTTAACATATACTTAATAAATAAAAATAATAAACAGAAAATAATTAGCATTGGTAAGGCAAGGGTGTGACAAAATTGGAACACTTGTGGCTTTCTGGAATGTTAAATGGTGTAGCTACTGCAGAAAACAGCATGGCAATTTCTCAAAAATTTAATGTTCTCAAAAACATAAAATTATCATATGATTCAGCAATTCTAATTCCAAAGAATCATAAGTAGGATCTTGGGAAAATACTCGCTTACCAGTGTTCATAACAGCATTATTTACAAAAGCCAAAAATTAGAAGTAACCCAAGTTCCATGCATGGATGAATGGACAAACAAAATGTCACATATACACATGATGGAACATTATTCAGCCTCAAAAAGGAGATTCTGACCCCTGCTACAGCATGAATGAACTCTGGAGGCATTTGGTGAGTGAAATAAGCCAGTCACAATAGGACAAATAGTGTGTGATTCTATTTACATGCAGGACCTAGAGAAGATCAATCTATAGAGACTGAAAGTGGAAGGGGATGGGGTAAAAGGGCAATGGGGAGTTCATGTTTAATGGCATAGTTTCATTTTGGGAAGATGAAAAAGTTCTGGACATGGATGGTGGTGATGGCTGCACAATGAGAATGTACTTAATGCCACTGAACTGTGTACTTAAAAATGGTTAAAATGGTAAATTTTATGTTATGTGTATTTTACCACAATTATTTTAAAAGTGCCCTCTGTCTTCTGCCCACAGGGACCTCCCCTCTCGTTGCAAGACAGCATGGCCCTGGCCACAGCATTGGAGGCACAGCTACAACTGAGAGAGGTGGCAGGCATCCCCCTGCAGGCTAGCACTGTGGACAACTGGAACCAGATCCAGAACTTTGAGGCCAAGCCAGATGATCTCCTCATCTGTACCTACCCTAAATCAGGTGATTGTGGGACCAGGGGGACAATCAGACTTCAGCCTGTGGAGTCAGCAAGGGCTGCTCACATCAGTTAAAATTCCCCTCAATACAGTGCACTCATTCAAGGAAAGCTGCTCCTTTTCACTGGCCCATGATGAGGTGATCTTGGGATGCTTAGTGTCCCTGGGTTTAGCCAGGGTCAAGCATGATAGGGTTAGGGGACCCAGCCTGCTGTCCTCTGTCACGGACAGCTCTTGGGTGACAGTGTCATGTGGCTTTGCCTCTGCTGCTCTTTCTCTTCATGGAGACTTCGTGGGTTTTTCTCACATGGACATCCATCTGTCATGGCTGACAGGATCCTGACCTGAGGGGAGGTTGAACCAAACATCATTAGTCTCCACATCCCCTTTTCTCCCCCAAACATTTAAGACAGATTGTTTAACAGGTTTCTCCTTCTCATCCTTTCCACATGGGCGCCAGGGACTACATGGATTCAGGAAATTGTGGACATGATTGAGCACAATGGAGATGTGGAGAAATGTCAGAGAGCCATCATTCAACACCGCCATCCTTTCATTGAGTGGGCTCGGCCACCCCAGCCCTCTGGTGAGAGCTCCCTACGTACTGCCCTGGCTCCTTTCTTTTAAGATCTTATTTTTTAGAACAGTGTTAGGTTTACAACAACATAGAGGCACAGAGATTTCCCACACATGCACAGCCTTCTCCATTGTTCAATATTCACTCCTCCCCCAGATGGTGTATTTGCTACAATTGATGAGCCTACACAGACACGTCTTAATCTCCTGAAGTCCATAGTTCACATTAGGATTTGCTCTAGATGTTGTATGTTCTTTGGGTCTGGACCAATGTATAATAACGTGGATCCAACAATGTACTACCATACAGAGTAGTTTCACTGCCCTAAAAATCCTCTATGTGCCCCCTCTTCACCCTCCCTTCTCCCCAGCCCTTGACAACCACTGATCTGTTTACTGTCTCTACAGTTTGCCTTTTCCAGAATGTCATATAGTTGGAATCATACAGTACATGAACTTTTCAGACTGGCTTCTCTCACTTAGTAATGTGCACTTCAGTTTCCTCCATGTCTTTTCATGGTTTCAGAGCTCATTTCTTGCCAGTGCTGAATGCGATCCCATTGCTTAGATGTACACAGTGTATTTATCCTACTGAAGGGCAGTAGGCTCTCCTGTGGCTCTCCTTCTTCCTTTCTCTTCCTCTCTCTCCTGTCTCTGTTTTCTTTTCTCCTCTGTTTTGTCTCTTTGTTCTTCCTCCCCTCTCATTTCTATCACCATGGGTTTCCTCCTCCTTTCTTCCTCTTTGTTTCTTTCTACAAATTACCTAAGGTTGTTTGCCAAAAATTAATCATCAAGTAAAAAGGAATCTGCCTTATTTTCTTTTTCAATGCTCCCTCTGACCATTGCTGCTGTAGAACATACAGAGAGGGTGGAAAGCTATATGTGGAACACTTCACACTCTCTTCTTTCCTTACTCTACCCATACAAATTCCCAGTGGAGTCAAGGAAGTGCCAGATAATTAGCAAAAATAATGCATTTGCAGCCAACTATTTCTGTTCTGTAGGGAAACTTTTTAAAGTAATACTCAACCCAGAAATTTTTTTCTTCACACCAAAAAAAAAAAAAAAAAAAAAGACAATCAGAAGGCAAAAGAAGCCATTCCAGATAACAGGCAGCTACTGGATGCATTTTGCAGAACAGAGATAGGAGGAAGGCCTACTTTTCTGTTTCAGCATTGCGTAGTTCAGCACAATTAAAAAAAAAAAAAATGGAAAGACACCTCGCTAGAGCCACAAAACTATAAGCAATACAACTCTAGTGTGGAAGTTTAATTTGGAGAAAGTGTGGACAGATGCTACCAATGCCTTGCCCAGCTGCTCAGACTCCTCTGGTCCTTAGTTCCTATCCATCTGGTTGACCACTAGCTTAGCAATCCACTGCCTGGTCTGACCCCTGCTCTGAACTACCTGTGGGGCTCTGACCCCACACACAGGGTCAGAGCCCCACAGCACTGCCTGCTTAACTGTGATCCCACTTCGGCAGAGTCAATATGTGTAAAAAGGTTAGGGCAGTACCTGGGAGAGAGTAGATCTTATTTAAGTCCTAAGTATTACTGACCACATCTTAGGCAAAATCCTTTGCCCCACAAGAGCATGTGTTCCCTAAGGCATCCAAGCCCAGTGTTTGATCTCACTTCTACATCCCACACCTGCCACCATTGTCTTACCTCTGACAATTTGGGGGATTAAAGAGAGGGGGAAAAAGCCTAAGCATGATTTCTAGTGAGGATTCTTGACAGTGGGGAGCAAAGTATCCAGTCACTAAGTTATAAGAAACAGGATAGAACTTATCTCAAGGCAATGCCAGCAGCTGCAGAATTCAAGAAAGGTCGATAACCAAGAACCGAGCATGGCACATCATATACAAACCAAGATAGTTTCTTAAAAATCAAAGTGCCTCATGTCCAAAGAGATGACAAGCAGTTAAGGCTTTACAGTCTTTCCATCCAGGCAGTGGTTTTATTTCAGAGTACATGATCCCTGCCACCAAAGGCAGGGACTTACCATTAGGAGGGTAGGATGGTTGCCAAAATAAACTGATGGGAGCTGGTCAAGTATACTGGCCACACTCAGAGGATTCAGGAGTGGACGAACACTGCTGGATATAGTGCAAGTTTGTGTCCCACATAGCCAATCTCCCTCCCAGGCCTCCTTCCACTCCCCCTGCCCCCAACACTACCACCACCTACAGCTAGAGAGCTGTTTTACATCAAAGGTATTGCAGGGCTGACCTAATGAGAGTAGGGCTGGGAAGAAAGAATATATAGATTAGATCTAGGAATAACCCTTTCAGCTCAACAAGCATTTATACTACAGGCCCTAGGCTGTACTTATAAGACTCTACACCTCCACTTGCCCTCAATAATCCATGGTCCAATGGAGGAGGCAAATGCAGACCATATGATGACAAGCAGTGGGTATGTTGGGTGGAGTTAGCGTAGGACTTCATAGGACTTCACCATTGGCAGGGTAAAGAATGGGCCTGAAGACCAATGCCTGGGAAGGTGACACCTGCAGTTACAAGCTGCTACTGCTATTGCTGTGTCTCTCCTGCCAGACTGCAAGTTCCTCACGCAGATGATGAGAGCCAAAAATGACTCCCTTGGCCCCCTTCCTTCATGGGTCAGGCTCAGGAATCGACTCTGTGGCCTGAGGTGTGTTCACGGACACTCTCTCCTGTGCTTCTCAACCCCAACCCTAAGGCTGAGCACTCATGTCAGTGACAAGGGAATAAGGCCACCCAACCAGCTCCTCTGAGGTACTGATGTGAGAGAGAGAGAGGGAAAGAGAGAGAGAGAGAAATGTATAATTTACCTGAACCTGTGAAAAAAGACATTCGTGGATGTTCCACGTAAAGCCCTAAACCCACAAAATTTCTGTCTGCTGTAGGGGTTCTTCAGCAGCAAACTTTGAAACTGGAGCTGGGTCAAGCCTGCTGGGAGAGCTGCATGTAGGAGGAGGAAAGCCTAAGCCTACAGCCTCCTTCCCACACAGAGGTCATTGGGCCCCAGAACTAAGGGGCAAACATGCTCAGGTCATCACAACCTCTCTCTCTCTTCTTCCTTCTCACCTCTCTGTCCTGTACTCCCTCTGCACTTGGGCCTCTGGAAAGCCCCATTAGTTTCTTGCCTGGCTATACATTTAAAGGCTGTTTGTAGTGTTTCAATCAGATTTTGCACGTGTTTTATAACAGGACAGATCTTCATAGGGTCCAGGCCACCATACTACTAGCAGTGGAAGTGTCTGGAGAGACTCTTAAAGAGCAAATGGGACCAACCAGGTGCCCAGAGACATAGACAAGAAGGAAGGGGCCTGGAGCAGCAGGATGAATGTAGATAGCTCTGAAGGGGAACATGTGAGCAGGAGACATGACAGAACATGAGGAAAGGAGCTAGAGACAGGACAGTTTTACACGTCTTGCTAAGGAATATAAACTTTAAGTATAAACCAGTGGTTTTAATAAATAAATAAATAAACCAGTGGTTTTCCAATTTTTCTTTTCAGTACCAGGATTTTTTTATTTAAAAAAAAAATTGTTGGGGCCCTGTCATCCAACAATTCCACCTCTGGGTATATGCCCAAAAGAACTAAAAAACAGAGACTGGAAAAGATAACTTGCACACTCATGTTTATGACAGCATTATTCACAACAGCCATGGATGGAATCAACCAGTGTCCATGACAGATGAACAGATAAGTAAAATGTGATACATACATGCAATGAAAAACTATTCAGCTTTAAAAAGGAAGGAAGTTCTAACACTGGCTACAACATGAATAAACCTTAAGGATATTATGCTAAGTGGAATAAGCCAATCACAAAAAAAAAGATGAACACTGTATGATTCCACTTTTACGAGGTAGCCAGAGTAGTCAAATTCATAGAATCAGAAAGAATAGCGGCTGCCAGCGGCTGGGGGAGGGTGGAATGGGGAGTTAGTGTTTAACAGGAATGGAGTTTCAATTTTGCAACATGGAGAGTTCTGGAGGCTTCTTGCACAACAGTATGAATGCGCTTAGCACTACTGAACTGGACTCTTTAAAAGGATTAAGATGGCAAATTTTACTTTATATGTATTTTACTACAATTTTTTAAAACTACTAGGGATTCCCAACATATAAAATAAGCAAAATCAAAAATGACCAGAATGAAGCACATCCTTTCAACTCCACTTTGAATCCAGCCTCTTAAACACATAGCTTGGGGAGCAAATGTGAAAAACCACCTTGAGTATGGAAGGTTTCCAAACAAGAGTCACATGGTCTGAGCTGCTCAAAAGCAGCAACAATCTGAAAGCACCAGGGAGCATTTACATTTTCAGGTGTAGGTAACAAGACCAGTTCCAGACCTACTCCCTCCTAGGGTGAAGGGCCTTGTCTTCCTCCTCTTTACTGTGACCTGCAGAGATTCTTGCTCCTCCCAAAGCCTGGGAGAATAACCAAAGCCATAATGCTCATACAGACCACGTGGACAATTTATATCAGCAAGAGGGCAGTTTGGACTAAGTGACCTTCCCTGGGATCCAGCTTTTTACAAGTCAAACATGACAACAGCACTCTCAGGATGTCTGTCAGGGGCATCTCCTTCACACCTTTCTTTCTACCCCATGCCCATCTTTGGACAACCAAGCACTCACTGGCATACTCAGGGATGAAGAGATGTGGAAAGCCAGTGTAAAAGGTTGCTTCAGAGCTTAACTTGTTGATACACATTTACAATAAAATGCTTCTTTATTACCAGGTTTGTTTCCCTCCTACATTCTAGCAGCCTTTCTGACCCTTCATATAGAGGCTTTTTTCCCATCAACTGCATATCAGAGTCCAAATTCAGTGTGTCCCTGGACAGCATCAATGTACTCCAGATCCTTGGGGCTGATTCATTTCTCATCACTAACTCTGTTCACTTTGCATAAGCCTCTGATTCCACTAGAATGGAAGCTTCTTAGAGAAAAGGAGCATGTCTTCTTTAACTTTGTTGCCTTTCTGCTGTATTAGACTCAGACCCCAAATCCAACATGTGTCTGACCAGGGCTGGGGGCTCCTTCACACCAACAACACTCTCTATATGACACCAGCCAGATGTCCTACAATTCAACTCAAATCTGACACTACCTACCTGCAGATGGTATCAGATCTCACAGGTGAAGGGCTCACAAAACTGCTCTCCCTGCACTTTAGGTGCCAACTGCAAGTAGTAGATTCCCAGGTTACCCACAACTTCTGTCCAACTTGACTATTAATCAGGTGTTCCCACAACCCTCTCTTTGGCTAGATGGAAGAGACACCTCAGACAAACCATAGGGAGAGGACTCGAAGCTTCTATGCCTTCTTCAGGCACCATCCTCCCTAATCTCATGTTCATCAACCCAGGAGCTCTCAAACCATGGACTTTGGGGATTTAATGGAGCTTCATCACACAGGCATTATCTATCATTTAATTCATTTTCAGCCCTTCTCCCCTCTTTGGAGAAAATTCCAAGCTTCTAATCATGGTTGGTTTTGCTGGTGACCAGCCCCCATCCAGGAACCTCCCCCCTGGAGTCACTTCATTAGAATAGGACACATCTGGGGCACCTGGATGGTTCAGTCAGTTGAGTGGCTGACCAGATTTCGGCTGGGGTCATGATCTCAGGTCATCAGCTTGAACCCTGCATCAGGTCTGTGCTGAGCAGGGAGTCTGCTTGGAATTCTCTCTCTCTCTCTCTCTCTCTCTCTCTCTCTCTCACCATCCACTCCTCTCCCTGATGATGCATGTGCACAGTCTCTTACTCTCTCTCAAATAAGTAAATAAATCTTCAAAAAAAAATAAAGAACAGGACACCCCTATACCCAAACAACAGGGGTTTCTGGAACTCTCTGCCAAGAAGCAGGGGCAGAAACAAATATAAATTTTCTATTATCTCACATCACCTAACCTCAGTCTAATGCAATGATTGCACAGAGTGGGTGCCCAGTCAGCGTTTTAGAGTACAGAGTGGAAATCACAACTCACATGCCATGAAGTACATGTGTTTTTAGAGATGAAACAAATGACTAACACATAGGTCAGGTACATGGCAGCCTACTGCAGACATGCAGGGATGGGCGCTATCTAGAAGGCAAGAAAGACTTGCACTCTGGTCCCCTTGGCTCTGCCACAACAAGACCTAGCTTGTCCATTCTCAGCTTTCATCTCCTCATCCTTAAAGTGGCATATTAATTGAAGCTCCCTTACAGTTCTCTAGCTGTAGGAGTCTACAAAAGGGGTAGTCATCTCAATAATCTCATTATGAAATCAGAAAGGAAAGTCAAGAGATAAGCAGAAAAAGGGAAGGGAGGTGTTAGGACATTCTGGACAGAGCCCAAAATATAAGTTTCCCATGCAATGCTTGTACTATGCAGATGTTTCCTCTTGATTTACTTAAAGGGGTGGATAAAGCCAATGCAATGCCCTCTCCACGGATACTAAGGACTCACCTTCCAACTCAGCTATTGCCTCCATCTTTCTGGGAAAACAACTGCAAGGTAAGACAGCAACAGCTTCCCTGGGGACAGGCAGGAGACTGGGGCCTCCTGGGAGCAAACCATCCAGTCCCTAAATCACAACAGTGTCATTATATTTACTCTTCCACCATCTCTGATGTATTGACTGTTGATCAGCAGGAAAATAAAATGTAAAGTTCTATGTATACTCAGCAGGATATTCACCTGAAGGATTTCAAACAAGACATGAAGGCAAAAGCCAGACTGAATTTTTGGTATGAACTGGAGACACTGAGTGTTCACAGTGACGCAAGGGTGTGAGCAATTAAGAGAAGAAACAGAGCAGAGAAGAAAAACTGAGGAGAAAGAAAAAAAAAACCCTAAATATTGTTTAAAAGGGTGGAGCAATGTTTCTTAAAGGGAGCCTTGGCTCTGGCCTCTCATAAAATCTGGGCTCTTTATTTATTCTGGGACTTTATTTATTCTGCACTCCAGTGCCTAGTCAGCTCCTGGCACAAAGAGGACATTCAGATGCTGAATGACAGCAAGTGAGTGGCTGTAGAGTGAATGGAGGTGAGGGAAGAAACTGAGGTGTCAGCCAGCACTGGTAAGAAAGTTTTCTCCAAAGTGGGAATGGAGGGGACAAAGGACTAACATGGGTGTATTTCTAGGGAACAGTAGCAATCACGGAGTCCTTTCAGCCCAGTTGTCTCAGGGAACAAGAATCTCCACTTCTGGATTATAGCCAGCTAAGTACCCTGAGAGCTTCTGTATGAAACACCTTGCAATAACACATAACACATGACAAGTTTCCTTGTAAATGTGTCACTGAGATCCAGAGAGAGGAAAGGAAATCTCTAAGCTCCTCAATGAAAAGGAGAGGTCACTGAGCCTGGAGCTGTGCTGCAGGTATTTGACGACCTGAAGAAGCCAGCAGCGTGGGATTCATGGCTTGGGTCTCATGGAGTCAAAGAATGAATCTCAAGGACACAGGAGAATGAGCAAAGCGATAGACGTCTATTAAGCAGAGATACAGAGCAAGCTCTCAGAAGCGAGTGGGGTCCTGACAGGGTTGCCACCAAGGGCTTGTAGTGGGAGCTTTTATTGAGAACCTAGCCTGGGACCCCATGGCCTTGAGATTCTTGTGCTGTCTTGGTTTGAGGAGGGACTATTGATAACACCTTAATGATTTATTTCTTTGTGGTGTGGGGAGTTTCTGTGATTACTTAGTAACTATCAAAGGGGGACACTCCCTAACATTTTGGAGCTGGGGAGCCAGGTTTATCTTTTTTCCTGTTTTTGCTGCTGTATCTCTGTTTCCTTGGGATGGGTGGGAGACTGACTCTGGGGCCTCTCAATGGCTTTGGGATTTATGGGAACCCACAGATCTATGGGAGCCTGACTTTGGGTCTTTCCCTTATCTTTCCCTGCCTAGCCCCATCTGCCCCTAACTCATTCCTACATCAGCTGCATTGGGTCAAAGCCCAGAGCAGAAGGAATCAGAAAAGTGAGGAACCAAAGCTGGGACAGCTGAAGGGCCTCATCCTCAATGGGTGGATAGAGGGGGCCAAGGCAGACCCGAGGAAAACTCTCTGTCTTCACCTGGTCTCTCAGCTGCCCTGAAAATGTGTGGCCATGGGCCTCCTGTCTCAAGAAAGGAGGTTCAATGTTATAATTCTTGCATTGTCCAAGAAGCCCCATGCTGAGAAACTAGCGTAAGGTGGTTCCCACTGCCAGCCTCCCCAGGATGACTTGCAGAAACAAACACTGGGGGACGTAACTCCAGCACGGGCCACAATGGCCTGCTTGAGTTCACCACCTCACATTACAAAATAAAGAAAGGAACAAGCCAGCAAGAGAAAGTCTGCAAAAAGCACAAACAGCAGGGGTAGACCTCGAGGACTTCAGATATTAAAATGATCAGATATAGAAATATAAGAATGTTGAAGTTGTGTGAGTAAATGAAAGATTGAATCAAACATAAAAGAAATAAGATACTATTTTAAGATAGAATTTTTTTTTACTAAAGTAAATAAATAAATAGGATTTCTGTAACTGAAACAATATATAAACATTTGCTATAAAAATTCAACCATAGGTCTCTGGTTTGCCAGCACCTGGGGTGACTCTCCCTCAGGGATGGGGGAGGGCACAGTGCCACAGGCGTGGAGGGGCCGCCGAGCCTCAGAAGACCACCAAGCCCCCAAGGGGCCAGGGCACCAGGGCTGGTTAGAGAGCTTCATGAGTGGCAGGGTGGCCATGGGGACAGAGACCCTGCTGTGGGTGAGGGAGGAGGAGCCCTGTCCCACGTCATCTACCCACTTGCTTCTTGGTCTCCTCCTGTGCAGTAGGACCCCATCTCCGAGTCTGCACCTGCAGGACTGACTTCCTCCTTCTGTCTCTGCATTTGTGGCCTTCAGCTTTATCACCACCATCTCTGCTTTACAAAGATACAAAGCACCAATCTTAGAGATTAAGATCGCGTTCCTAGCACCCGAACCAGCAGCACAAAACTGGTAGTAGAACGCAAGCCCTGACAATCAAATTTCCTCTCAGTGTTTGTGGGATGTGAGATTGCCATGAAAATAATTTTTGTTGCCACTTACTGTCATGCATCCTTCGCAGAATGTGTTATTGATCACCTGTGGCTATTTCACATCAGTTTCTTAGTTCTTTTCTTTCTAGCCCTTTCCATTTCTGGATTTAAAAACTAACAAAAAAAATAGTAATACACTAACACAAATTCAACAACAGGTAAAATGCAGAATAGACATAGCAGAAGAGAGAATTGGTGAACTTGCAGGGGGAAATGGGAAGAAGTTTTGAGGAGAGAGCCTTGTGGTTTGAGGTGAGAAATATGATGGGAAGATTGATAAAATGGATATCAAGCAGTAATGAAGCCTCACACCTGAAAAGCACCAGGGTCCATCAGGAGGCAGAGGGAGCAAGGGTAAAATGTGGGCAAGAGCCTTTATTGTAGTTTCTGATGGAAGGAATGGGTGAAACAGGTAATCAGGCTTAGGACTGGGTACTTTGGGTGATTTCTGGAGATGCTGGGGCATAGGGACTGCCCCTGGTTATATGGTCCTGGCCTTGGGGTGATTAAAGCAGATGGATTGTGACCCAAAGCATGAAAGCCCAATAAGGGAGATAAAGGCTCCAGACTGGTTGCCTTATATGCAAAAAATGAGCTTGATAGTGAGTTGTCACTATCTGTAGTAACCGACTAAACCTGGCAAAAGCAGTCCCTCTAAGGTCAGCAAGGCCCCAGGATGTCAGAGTATCAGAATGCAGAAAATGTCACTATTGACATTTTAGGCCAGAAAATTCTTTTGAGGGAGTTGGGGTGAGGGGCTCGCCTGAGTATTATAGAATGTTGAGCAGCATCCCTGATCTCCACTCATTAGATGCCAGTAGCACTACCACCCCCAGTTGTGACAACCAAAAATACCTCCAGACGTTGCCATAGGTTGCCTAGTGTGCAAAATCATTGCCAGTTTTAGGGTTAAAAAAACAAAACAAAACAGCATCACTATGAAATGACTAGTCACAGATCTGAGGTGGCTGGCCAGTCAACAAGGCCAGCTTGGGATTGATGCATCAGAATTTGAGTGGAGTACATAGCAGTCACAATGAGATCAAAGGTCAAATTAGGTTAAAGTGAAAGGCTGGGAGGGTAGAAAGATACAAGTTGTAGTCAGAATGAAACAGGATGCTTTGTAGAGCAGGAGTTGAGTAATTTGAGATGAAAATAATAGAGTTGATGAGAACAGGAGAAAAATAAGACCATGAAGCCATTCCGATTTTCCAGGACATGGAGATGAAGGTATTAGGAGGATCATCAGCAAGCACGTGGAAGCTTCTGTCTCATGGTAGTTCATAGTTGCTAGAGAAGGATGGGACCCTGACAACTAAAAGGGCAATCAGGAGTTAGGCTACTTACCAGGACTGAGTTTGGAATAAAGAGGAGAATCAGCAGAGAAAGAGGGACAGCCAGAGGAAGATGAGGTCATAGGTCAAGTGGAATCAGCAGAGAAGCTAGAACAGCCAGAGGAGGAAGAGGTCACCAGCCAAACTGAACTGCCAGCACAGGAGAACTGAACCAAGTGTGCAAAGCATGAAATTCACCTGAGTGAATTCTGTGAAAATTCACTTTTCATACCATCTTTTACCCACCTCTCTTCTTAACCCAAAGTTCCTTTATGTAGCTCGAAATGCCAAAGACTGCATGGTTTCCTACTACCATTTCCAAAGGATGAATCAAATGCTTCCTGACCCTGGTACCTGGGAAGAATATTTTGAAACCTTCATCAGTGGAAAAGGTAAAGAATAATCCTTCACATCTTTGCATGCCCACTCCATGTAGGGTCAGTCTAGGAATCAAGCATAGCATTTTGAGTCCTGAGAAGCTTATGTTCCTCCTTAGGCATGTCCTACCTCAAACTGGGACTTGGAGGCACAGGGTGGCTGAGCTCAGAATGAATACCCCCAGTCCCAGCAAATATCTCTCACCCAATCTGAAAGCCTTTATGCTAGGTCACTTGACCTGTAGAGTCACCCTCCTTCCAAAGGGTATCCTTGTGCTAATATCAGGGCATATATGATTATACACAATAAATAGGAAGCCACGTTAGGTAGCATGTTGGGATAAATTACCCCAAGGCTGTACCATACCACATCACCCTCCAACTTAAACACATGTGGACTCAGGACATATCTGAGGCTTTGGATGATCCTTTTGTAGACTGTTCTGTTTCCTGTGTCTGTTACAGTGGGCTGGGGTTCCTGGTATGACCATGTGAAGGGATGGTGGGAGATAAAAGACAGATACCAGATTCTCTTCCTCTTCTATGAGGACATGAAACAGGTGAGTAAAAGCCCTTCAGAAGAACTGCTCCAGGCTGTCTCAGGGCTGTGCTTCTAGGAGGGACATCCTGAAGAATTTAAGTGCCATCCTGATACCTCCTTCCATTCCAATGTGATGTTACTATCACCACAGGACCCAAAGCATGAAATTCAGAAAGTCATGCAGTTCATGGGAAAGAACTTGGATGAAACAGTGCTGGATAAAATTGTTCAGGAGACATCATTTGAGAAAATGAAAGAAAATCCCATGGTGAATCGTTCCACGGTTCCTAAATCTATCCTGGACCAGTCCATTTCCCCCTTCATGAGAAAAGGTTTGTGTGGCCTCCAATACTGTATAAATACAAGTATAAATGAAACACTCGGTTTGTCTAGTAATATGCTGTCTGCTTCTTAGCAAGGAGATGTTAGGTTTTATTAATTTCAAGAAAAAATATTTGGCTTATTATGAACAATTTACCACTAATAAGATGGGGATTTGATCCTGGCTGGCTCCCAACACAAGGGGCTTTTTAGGAGGAGTCATGTACAGGTGTAAGGGAAATGTGGTCTCACAGGTAGTTAAAAGCAGGAGCCACTGTTGGTCCAGACCTCATGGGGATCCCTGAATCTCAGAGTCAGGACCTCAGCAGTAGGAGGGTACAGCTCTTTGCCCGAAGTCCCCACCACTTAAAGGACTCAGCTGCCCTCCACATGTCTGCCATGAGTCCTTCCTCCATTGATCAGCTTCCCATCTCTCTGCCGATTACACCTTTTTCCTATTTTCTATCTTCTGTTGACTCAGCTTCTGCTCTCAGCTTGGTCTTGATAATGGCCCAGACATGCTCTACATCATGACTTCCAACTATAACTACCGTTGAGCACTGCCTCATTCTTTTAATATTTCTTAGTTTCCAGTTCCCAAAAGAGGAATTCTAATTGCCCCAGCTAATATTTTTTTGAGAAAAAAAAAAAAAACATTCTCATCTTTCAAAAGTTCCGTCTCATGGCCCTTTCCAGTCTTCTTCACCCTCAGATACAACCACCATTATAATTTTTATCACTACAGATTGATTTAGCCTGTTCTTTGACTTCATATAAATGAAATCATACAGTATGTACCTTCTTGTGCCTTGTGTCTGTCACTCAATGTAATATTTTGATATTCCTTCACGGGGCTATGTCAGTAGTTCCTTTTCATTTCTGTGCAGTGGTCTATTATGTGAATATACCACAGGTGGGGTCAAGGCACCAGCACCTTTGTGCCTTGGCATCAATAGTATCCCTGAGCTAGGAGCCCACCCCCTGCACAGAGCACCCCAGGGCCCTTCTCAGAACTGAGAGCTGCAGTGGATGGGTATGCATTCAAGGGGAAGTGGAACAAGGCAGGAGTGTTTTATGGCCACAGAAACTTTCCGTCAGAGTGACACCTGCATCTCGATTTTTTCCTTTTCTAGGAACTGTGGGGGATTGGAAAAACCACTTCACTGTGGCTCAGAATGAGAGATTTAATGAAATCTATAAGCAAAAGATGGAAGGAAGCTCAATAAATTTCACAGAACTCTGAGCAAGACATACATAGAAAGTCCTTCAGCCCAGCCAGAGTATCTCTGAAAGCATTTTGTAAAGTACACAATTATGGTACCACTGAACCTGTGATTACTATGTACTAGCTTTATTTTTTTAGAAGGATCATGTCTAATGCTTATTTTCTCAACCATTCTTTCCAAAGTAAGAAATAAAGAGGCTTATTCAACAAAGTAAAATATAAGACTTGAACGCTGCAAGGATTCTTTAGGTCTCCATCATTCTGGAAAGTTCATCCATGTTTTTTAGTCTGTAATATACCTTGGGCATAAATATGAAAATATTAGTTTCTATCTATTTTGATAATATGGAATCTCCAACATCTGTCTTGGCCATTCTAGAGCACTCCAGCTGTGTTAGTTTGTGGGGTTCCACCTGATTACTATGAAAGGGACACTCTGAGGGCAGTTCTGATGCAGTCTACTCTGTGAAAACATGTCCCAAGTGCCATCCCTGGTGGTGAGGAAGGAAAGGGAAAGGCACAGAGGGAGAGGCCAGAAGACCAAACACTGATAAAGAGTCATAGTGCTTAATTACAGAAACAGAAGGGGTGTCCATTCTGGAGCCTGAGTTATATCCTGGTAAAAGCAGAAAACACAGACAGAGGAGCAGCACCAACAAGTCAGCCCAGGCATGGTTGTCAGACTTGGAGATAGTCTTTTCTGCAACGCTGTGCCCTCTGTAGGCCAACATTACCAAGCTACGGGCCCTTTTCACTGGTTTCCCATACTTATCCTGCTGAAGCCCTGTTGCTTCATATTTGTTGATTTACTTGTCTATTTCTCCCGCCTGAATGTAAATTCTTTACCATTTGGTTCCATGTCTTATTCAACATCTCACTCCCAGTATGCAATGCAATGCATGGTACATAACAAGTGTTCTGCAAGTACTTGGTAACAAGCGAATGAATGCATAGATGAATAACTACAAGAAGGTAGGCACATTTCAGATTACAAATTCCCAGCTTTGAGTCCCAACTAGTCGCATTCCAAAGCTGAGGGCAGTAGGTGCTCCTGCTTCCCCCGAGGGGAAGGCAATAAGAGGTTAAATTAAGCCCAACTACAATTCTGACTGCTTTTTATTATCACCCACCTCTAGCAGCTCTAAACAATGTCAGTGATAAAAAATACTCTGTGGTGAAGGAGGAGGATCTTCTATTAGCCCTAAATTCTATTTATTTTTATCTACATTTTTAGATGGGGGTGCAAAGAGAGAGGAGAGAGAATCCCAAGTAGGTTCCATGCCCAGTACAGAGACCACCGTAGGACTCGATCCTACAACCCTAAGAGCATGGCCTGAGTCAAAATCAAGAGTTGGATGCATAACTAACAGTTACTCAGGTGCCCTCTTGACCCTAAATTCTAAGCAATTGCTTGGTCACTACCAAGTTTTAATCATACATATGTAACTTCAAATTAGTGCCTTCTAATTGTGTAAAAAAAAAGCTGTCTATATCCCCCACATTTGGCAATTTTAGATTGTAAATTTTTTTTTGCTGTTTGGTTTCATGTCTGTTTACATCTGTATGGAAGTTAATTCAGAGAACACCCAAGCACAGAGACAGCTTCTGTAACTGACACACAGATGCAACTACGCCTTCTTCCTCAGGGTAAGTTCATTACAGCTCAGGATCCTTCAAGCTCCCTTCAAGTACAATTTGCATTCCTGCTGCATATGAACATCCCTGTGTTTAAACAGTAGTAGATTCAGAACAAACACTGATAGCATAGTTATTATAAGAATGAAGAAGCAAATTTTGAATTTCTTCAATTCTATCATGCTTTGTGACTCCTTGGAGTTTTTGTTTGTATTCAAAATTTAAAACGGTGAAATTTTAAAAAATGCGAACTGCAAGGTATAAAATTTTTGTTCAATAAGTGCAGAGTTTTGTTGTTATGGAAAATAGTTTGCTAATTTTGAATAATATCTGTAAATGGAAATTTACTCTCTTCTCTAATTATTAGTAATGGTTTTAAAACTCAAGAATGAATAAAGAGAATGAACATCACCTCAGTGGTATGATTCAGTAATTGAATTGTACAGGAAATGTAGTTCATCTTTAGGAACAGGACATTTCCTGTCCCCCCTCCCTCCACCCCACCAAGAGAATACTTATAGAAATTTTCAACAGAAGAAAACCATGGTAAAACTGTGAGGGATTCTGGGATGCCTGCGTGGCTCAGCAGTTGAGCACCCACCTTTGGCTCAGGGTGTGATCCTGGATTCCCGGGTTCGAGTCCCACATCGGGCTCCTTGCAGGGAGTCTGCTTCTCCCTCTGCCTGTGTCTCTGTCTTTGCGTGTGTGTCTCTCATGAATAAATAAATAAATAATCTTTAGGAAAAAAAAGAGGAATTCTAATGAAGATTAATTTATAAAGAAGAAAGAGGAGAAGAAGGAAAAAAGGAAAGAAAACAAAAAGAACAACAACAAAAAAGACAAGTTACCTAACCCCACATGACCAGTTTAAATTGCTTCAGGCCTTTAATCCAGTTTCGAAGAATGTCAGAACGCCCCTCAGCCCAGTCACAATGAGACCTATTCTTAGGTCTCCAATGAACCGTTTCAGAGTGTGCTCCCACTCTGCTTTGTTATGATGTAATAAAATAGAAATTATAGTGCCTCGGCTAGAATCAACAGCACTCTAAGTGAAATCATACCCCATCCTCTCTTTCCAGTGAGGTATTTCCTTCCTAGCCAGCTGACAGCTAGAACCACCCCAAATCAGACAAGCTTGTACATTTCTGAACATCTCTAGTGAGACGACCTACATCAACTAAAATAAAATATTTTGCCCTCTCTTTGTTATTTTTATTTTAGAATACCATCTCCTAGTGGCCACAGAGCAGACAGGCCAAATTCAACACCCCAAAATGGATGATGTGCAGGGAATTTTGCTGACCAAAGCCATGTATGCCTCTTGAGACAAAATACAGCACTTCCAGCTGGGCCTAATGATCTTATTGCCACATATCTTAACACAAGTGTGCAAAGGTGCTCGGAAAGATAGGAAGGCAGGTTGTGCAAAGCCAAAGAGCACATCTAAGTATCAAGCCTTTACTCACATACCCTCATGTATAACATAGGGCTATTGCTCACTCATGTCACCTCCAATCTCCTGGTTATTCCCATTGGCAGAGCAAGCAACAGCTTGAGTAGTGCTAGGCAGTGTGCACCCAAACACCAAAGTACTGGCACATATGTGTGCATGCACACAAACACATACAGAGTCAGGCAGTATTGTCATCTATCCCTGCCCAGGAGTGAGATGAGTACATGTGAAGTCAGTTTTCCTAAACCTGCTACCTTCTGACCCTGAGCATTCCCTCAGCTCTGTTTCCTTATAATTTTATTTTATTTTAGATTTTCTCCTCATATCTTCTTACTTCTCCTTCCATTAGCTTTTGATTATGGAAGAGGAAGAAGAGAAATCAATCGAATTCCTCGTCAGTTGGTGATGTGTATAAAAGAGATAAGAGTGAGATACCCCACACCCTTGAGAAAATGCTCTAACCCCTCTGGTTTTCATTTCCTTACATACATAATGAGGAAGTGGAAGAGAGTGTTCTAAGATACTTGCATTTATTGTTTTAATAAAAATTTACTGAATTTTACAGTGTGCTAAGCACTGTGCTATGTATGACTAGAGATCTGAAGATGAGTAGATAAATAGTCCTTACTCCTAAATATAAGAGAGACTAAGATGTGTATCAGTAGAAAGAGAAAGTCCTGCAGCCTCAGACTCTTCCACTTATAAGCTGTGTGATCTTGGACAAGTTAATTAACTTCTCCAGGCCTCCCATGTTGCCCAGGTCCCCAGTTTGAGCACCTGGGAGGATGGTGGGTTTAGTCTTCCTTGGGGAATTAGGAGGTACCCATGAAATGTGTTAGTGGAGATGGGACCCCAAAGAGACCTCTGGACTAGAGAAGTAAATAAGAGAGTCACCAGACCATGGCCAGGCAGTGAAGCCAGGAGAGAGACTGTGATTGACCATGGAGAGCATACAGATTGAGAAAAAGGCCCTCCTCTGGAAGCAGAGTGCATTGATCAATATTGATCCCAGCTCCCAGTGAAAGGGAAAGGCAAAAAAGCAAGGGCATTGAGAGCACTGGCAAGAGTAGCTGCAGAGATAAAGGCAGAAAGGAGGGACAGATTGGGAGCAAGAGTGGTGACAAAAGGAACTGATGGCAGCAATGTGTTTGGATGAACAGAGGAAAGTGGAATCAACTGTGTCCAGACCACTGACTTGTGGAGGGCAGGCCGTTAGGGAAGAGCATCTCTCTGTGACCCTAGTTCCCAAGACATGCTGGGGGTAAAGTAGCTATTGATAGAGTATTATACTATTAATTATATAAGCAAGACTTCAGAAGGAATGTTTTAACCCAGTTACAACTTATAGGATTAAATGGTACTGGAGTACTCTTATATGTTCATTATTCCGACACAAATCAACATCTCCAGATGCTTAGTGATAAACTGTGATGTGCACGATAATGCTCTGTTGCGAATTGTAGAGAACATTTTGACTCTATTAAGTAAAATTCGTTAAGATCTCTCCTTGAAAAGATTGATTAGTGCTTATCCTAACTCATCAAATGTAATTTAATGTAATACGTTATTATTGTTTTGAAGCAATTCTGAAGTTTAGCTCATTCTTTAATTTGCATGTCTTCTCTCTCCATTATTCAAATTGGTGAGTTATTCCCAGTTGTTATCAGGTCTTGTAAAGAAGCCCCAGGAATGGCTTGGGTACCATGTTACTGGCTACTTACACACCATAGCAAATCATACTTTGCAATGGAATTTAAAACCCCTTGACCATTAAGCCAATAGGCAACTCGAAGATCCCAAGGCTATCTCAATTCACAGCATTCAGGGTGGGTAAGGAGTTGGGGTAACTGGGTGATGGGCATTAAGGAGGGCACTTGATGGAAGGAGCACTGGACATTATATGCAACTGCTGAATCACTAAATTCTACCCTGGAATTAACATATATGTTAACTAACTTGAATTTCAATAAAACAAAAAAAAATTGACAACATTCAGGATTCTGAGTCCCAGTAGCTTCCATGGCCCTTAGAAATTCTTCCATGCCCTATTGAGAGACTAGCCCTTTCTGCATTTAATGGAAGGAGTGATTAAATAGAAACAACTAACTAGTGAGCTTCAGACATTTTAAATACCAGTAATCTCCTGTCTGAATTGGAATCCCTCCTTCCCAGCTCACTCACCATCACTTCCATTTACTCTGCTTTTTAATTGTTGTCTTCAACTTGTAAATACCTAGGTCTGAATCAATTCATCTTTGAGTTTTCTCCCTTTTGAGCCACAGAGCTGCTAGACAAAAACTGTCTAAGAAGGCTACAGAAATCACTGCAAATTCCAGTGTCTCTCCTCAGCCAGAACAGTCACTGCCTCCCCATTTCCTTGTCTCTATGCCAAGCTTTCTTCTGACTTTTCAAAGTCTGAGCCCCCAAAGTCCCCTAGCAACTATCTGGATCTCCTCTCTGGTCTCTAGGACAGATAGGACCCTTTTCCCACCCAAGACTGACCATGCCATCTGTGCTTCAGCTCTCAACTACCCCATCACTTCCTTGGTGTCCTTTCAATGATCCCTTTTCTCATTTCTTTGATGGCTTAGGAGGGAGGGGTGTCTCCAAGGAGCTTTCAAAAATTCTCCCATTTTTACAAAACATGGTGTATTCAATTAATTATTAGAATAATTGTTTATTCTTTGACTTCCTTATTAGAATGTAAGTGCCCCCAGCGCAAGGATCATATCTGTTTTATTCAGTATTATATACCCAGTGTCTATCAGGTGCTGGATAAGTATTTGATGAATGAATAAATGAATGTAGGAACTTAAGAGCAGAGGAGCAAATCAAGAAGGGAGTGGTCAATAGTGGCCAACTTACAGAGAGGGCAAGAGAAAAGAAAGTTTCCTTTGGGTTTAGCAAAGAGATGGGCATCATTCATTCTGGAGGTCCCCAGAGATTCACAATGAGTGGGTGCAAGGAGTGGGAGCTTGTGCTGTGCCTGCCCTAGTGAAGGTCTAGAGCTGAAGCAGTGGAGATTTGCACTTACTATATGTCAGGCATTATAGTATTATATTTTTTTAAGTAGGCTCCATGCCCAGGGTGCCAGGCATTATTATTCTAAATACTTCCCATGTATTCCTTTAAAAGATTTTATTTATTTATTCATGAGAGATGCAGAGAGCGAGGCAGAGACATAGGCAAAGGGAAGCCTGATATGGGACTTGATCCCAGAACCCTGGGATCACGACATGAGCTGAAGGCAGATGCTCAACCACTGAGCCACCCAGGTATCCCTACTTTCCATGTATTAATGCATTTAGTCTTCACAACAGCCTTGTGAGGTAGCTGCTATTTTATACCTGTGTTACAGAGAAAGATACTGAGAACATAGAGGTTATGATTTGCTGAATGTCCACTACTAATAGGTAACTGAGCCAAGATTTGAACTCAGGAATTCTCTTTCTAAAGTCTATGCTCTAAACCACTAAGCTATAGTGTGTGTGTGTGTGTGTGTGTGTGTGTGTGTGTGTTCCCTGTTTGGACTACTTCTGTTATATGTATCTGAGGTAAAGGATGGAGTTTAAAAGACTGTGGTGGACTAGCATGGGGAACTGGCCATATTTAATAACTGTTTCTACAGAAATCCATTCTAATCTCATCTGGAAAAAAACCTACTTATAAACTCTTCTTTGGAAAATGATTCAATTTATGTTCATTGTCTTGTCTTTTCTCCTTTCTCTCTCTCCCTCTCTCTCTCTCTCTCTTTCTGAAGTAGCCAAATATGTGCCATGTTTCAAAACTGCTTGGTCAGTATCATACCAGGATACTTGGGGAAAAGTGGCAAAAGTGAGGTTTAAAAATAAGCAGATCTCTGTTATTCTAGGCTATACTAAGTAATTTGGGTTTGAGTTAGAGACCCATCTGCCTCTAACACATTTTTGGGAGTCCTCAAGACCTCTACAACAATTTC